CTTAGATAGAAAACTTTGAATCGATCTGATTGGATGATCTGGTTAATGTAGATCTATAAAGTGACCTTAGATGATGTGTTGTTAAACGGTGAATATAAATAAACTGAATTGAATTAAAATGAATGACCCCCCCCCCCCCCCCAGTATTGAATTACTCACTGCTGTTTACTGCATAAGCTGCATGTGCAACTTTCAGCAACAGACCCCACAATCTCTTTACATACCTGAACAGATAACCTTAACCAGTAACATTCCTGATTCAGTCGTCTAGATGTTTCTGCACATCGCTGTGTTATGACCTCATTTCAACACTAATAAGCAATACCAGCATCCAACCAATACACATCAACTTTGCTTTATTGAGCAATATTTCAAATATTCTGATCCACAAATCTTTAATGGGTCATCTTTAGATTTGAAGTTTATTTTAAAGACGAAGCACAATCTCTTCTTTCTAATTCAGACACTATGGGAACACAATCTTTCAACAATTAATATATTAAAAAATAGCCTGTTTTAAATTATCTCTTTGTGTTTTGAAAAGCTCAACATGCTGTTTTTAACACTCGCTTAGCTTAATACTTGAAAAATAGTTGAAAAATATAAGCTTTTATTTTTAAGAAATATGGTGAAGTTTTATCTTAAATCCAAGGCAGCTGTCGTTTCATGACTTGTTTGTTTATTATTATTTTGTCATATAAAATATTCAGACTTTAAACAGGGTGGGCGTCTTGGTGAAAATAGGGTTAGAAATTTAATCAACAAAACATAAAAATTAGTCATCTTTTTCTAAGAAACAAAAACAACATATTGGCTGACGAGAAAAATAAATGTTCCACAAATTAGACACAGAAAACACATTCAGGAAAGGAACTTCGATCACTCTGGGAAAAAACATGCAAAGGTTTTTTGGCATCAACTTAATTATAAGTCGAATCTTTAATCTCCTACTGTGCTAACATGAATAAATTGTGAAATATAATTAAGTAAATGGCAGAAGCAGTTGCATTATTGCTTTCAGTGGGACAGGTTTTAATCCATCACTGTCAGGAAGGCTGACGCTTATTGTTCTGGACACCAAACATCTCACATAGAGAACATATCTATAATATCTGCTCTAGAATCGTTTCACGCCAGGTGGGACAGAGAACCTGCGTCTTCATGTTCTTCCTAATCTCCTTCCTTCTCTTCCTCTGAAATCTTCTAATCTTCATCACTCATGCTAACATTGTTTTCCTCATCTTCACTCTTTCTTCAGGTGTTTCAGGTGCTTTCAGTGTCCTTCTTTATCCATGACCTTCCTGCTCTCCATTATCCTTCCTTCCTCAGATCTGCAGACGTTTCTTACATATCATCTAGAATCTAGAAATGTCTGGATTTTTAAACGTCTGTTTTATTGGGATCTGTGATGTGAAAGCATCAAGATTTTGAAAAGGTATCCCACTTGTTCTGGAAAGAGGTCTGCATGAAGGTGAAGCCAGAGAGTATTTATCACATTCACACAGGTCAGCAGATCTATTTAGAAGCATTCTTCTCTTTGTAGAAACTTTTTTTCCTTGTATGTCGTATGTTACATCATGGAAATATGTACATAGTTATTTTTTTTTTTTTCTTGTAACAGTGTCCTGTCTGGTGATTGTCTTGATGCCAAAAAGAGCCAAAACAGATTTTACTTTCACAAGTGTAGCGGTATGGCAATCCCATATTGCTCCACTTGTTTCATGCATATAAATTGCTTTATTATAATTATGCAGTTTTACAGTTCATATGGACACTGCAATATAAATAGAGCAGAAAAACAGAAGAAGAAAAGGAAAAAAGAAAAAAAGAGAAAAGATGAAAGAAAGAAGAGATAGAAAGGAGATATATAGATATATATAGAGAGATATATATTAACTAAGTATATATTTAAAGTATAGCATGTTAAAAAGAGATTGTAAAGTTTATTTTGAAGGACCAAGTTGATTGCTGTTTACAATCATCAGGTATTTATATCATCATAATACAAGATGCAAAAACTATTTTTGGATTTTAAAGAGCATTTCTGTTTGACTCGCTTTAGAAAATCCAACTTGGATTTTTTGTTGGTTGCTGTAGAGATGTTATTTTAATAGACGTCTAAAAATGATCCAACATTAAAAAAAATGGGATCTACTGTCAACAGTAATCCGAAAATAAAAGTATTTTGTATTATTTTGAAAATACGAAAATACAGTATTTTATTTTGATACATTTTTAAGGTGGGTATTTATTTGGAAATACATGTTGATGTATTTGTGCCCATGCCTGACAGCAGGTTGCTGTCTGGCCAAGATGGCGCTGACAGGATAACAAACAAATGAAAACACATATATATCCATCAACATAAACATTCATTCTCACTCTCACATTTTATTCTAGACCGACTCCCTCAGGCTGTGTCAACATTTTGAAAGGCAGTGTCACTACATGCAGTCAACACGCAATCAATTAAAGCGGCTTGTAAGGCACGCAGCAAT